GTCATTTCTAATCATGTCATTTATTCTAAATCTAATACAGCCTCACACTTTAATTTCACAGATACTATGAATTAAATATTCATAGTTTATGATTTAAAAGCTCGAGCGAATCAGAGCTGAAGTCGCCTGATGATCAGAGATGGAACAGCTCCACGTTTCATATTGACGACTGAAGCCTTTAGATGTGTTTAAAGTGAGCGTCACGTGGACAGAATGAACGTTATTCGGTTTAACAGAGAGCATCAGAGGCCTCAGGTGGAGCAGACACCCGACACCTTCAGGTGAGACACAAAATCAGTCCACTGGCTCAGACTCAGCCGTCACATGTTCACACTGAATTCACGCTGCACTTGAAAGTCGGCCAAATCCTCCAGGTCACCTTGAAGCCGCCGGGCATCGTCACCACGGTAACCACACTCACTCTTTCTCTCCTCGTCGGGCTGCTGGGGTTCGGGGCCCGTTTCCACGGCGACCGCGGCGACCGTCTGCGGCTGCACCCTCGCGGGCGTCTGGGCCCGTTTGGGTCGCGTCTTGGTGCCAGATGGAGGCGGCGTCTTCTTGCCGGCCGGCGCCTTGGAAGCGGCCGGCACCAGCGGGGACAGGGGCCGGCTTTTAGGGGCGGCCGGCGACGGAGGTCTGTTCTTGGGCTTCGGGGTGCTGAGGAGCAGAAAGGAGGGAGACTGTTGGTGGATGTGAACATCAGAGAACTCTTCAAATATTCAAAAAAAAGTGCAAATCAGGGCTTCCTTGGTTTTGTTCTGATTAGTATAAAACAAACATACAGACGAGCAGAGAAACAAACCGGCGCCCCTCCAGCCCTGAGGTGTGCTGCCCCGTATGAGTGACGAATAGTCTGCTCTCCCTTTATAAAGGTGATCACTGGCCCCCAGACCTTCTTATATTCCTCCAGTCTGTCTATCAAGACGTATCTGATTTTCTCTAGGTGGAGGGCATCTGTTCGTATTGTTGTCCAGCGGTTCTGCCCCTTTCCAATGCTGCAGAATCAGTTTCTTACCACAAACAACTGCATTAGAGAGTCAACACTGTTGAGCTTTTGAGAAGTTTTTCGAAGTTTCTGATGCGCCAAATGAGATCATCGCCGGATTGGGTTTCATTTGCACCTGTGAGCATCGGAGAACTCAAGGCTGATTAATTAGTGAACGAGATAAAGTCGCTGAAATCACCGACATATTGAATAAACTGATTTAAACGGCCTGAATTTGAAGCAGAAATGCACGTTGAAGTTGTAGTTAATTCCCTCTACAAGGCTGTGTCTGAAATCATCCCTTCATTCCCTACTTCCTGTCTATAAACACTAATTAAATATATTACATTTAGACACTATCTGAGTCTCTGTGCTGCTGTTTCACAATTAAAACATATGCGATGCTGTGGTGGTGAACAGAGCTGTATTTTTGTGATAAATTCAAATTATATTCAGTGTATTTTCCAAAATAATAAATAAAAATACCAATTCTTCTTTGTCTGTTCTGTGATGCATCACTCTGCTTCCACTACACTCAGCAAAAACAAATTAATTTGTGTAATTTTAATATTTTCGTGCCACAACTCATGAATTTGTCTCTCGTCACATCGACAAGCTGCACATACAGAAAAGATAGAAATAAAAAGTGCATCTTCACGCTATAAAACAACAAAATGAAACGGACATTACCAACGTAAAATACAGATTATCACCTTAAAAATATGTATTTACATTAAAAAATGCACCTCAACACAATAAAATACATCCTAACAATTTAAAATCCATCTTAGCAAAATAAAACACATCTTAACAGCACAAAGTGTGTCTTAATACTAAAAAATAATCTGCCATTCTCTTTGGACACACTGCATGATGGTAAATAGCACTCGGTTGTACACAACTTTTCCTGGTGCATTGTGGGATACTTGGAGTGACTACACAGGATGTAATCATTCAACCTGAATGGAGAATTCACTATATGGTGTAAAGAGACTGATTATTTTTAATCTATACAGGGTCGAACATTTAACCAGACTTATTCTGAAGTGTGCTGATTACTTCCTGCCGGACTTTTAATGAGCAGCAGGAAGAACCACAGAGAAGAACCGCACTGAAGCTCCCCGTGAACTACATAAAGCCCATAACTAGGTCAGGTGGAAGATATGAGTGACTCCGTCTGAAACTCCTCATTCGGTCTTTGGCTGAAGGGGTGAAACATGAGGAGGAGCAGGCAGCCGGCGTCTTTTTTTTTTTTTGCAGTGCATCAGTCAGAGGAAACCTCATTCTGTCCGACAGTCTGCTGCTTTAATGGTTCTATTAGAACACCTCGGACCGTCTGTCAGGCATCAACCTGCTCCGGCTCCATCTCAGAGCTCAAAATAGAATTAATTACCGTCTGTCCGGTTCAACATTGAAGCTCGTATTAATGTCCAGGTGTAAATCTGGTACCTGGTTTCCGGCCTGGATCTCTGGATGGTGGCTGTCGGTGACGCCGTCTGTCTTTTCTTCTGCACTTTCTCTTTCGTGAGAGCGTTCTTCTCTTTTTCGTTCTCCCTCTCCTTGTCCTTCTTCTCCTTCTTCTTTTTATCCACCTTGAACAGAGAGTCGACACAAATAACCGGTTACTACCCGAGGCTGCATCTGTCACATCGGCTTGATACCGCGCACTGCAGACTGAGGGGCTTTTCTTCAACGTCAGGATGCTGCAGAAACGCCTCAAACTCAAGTTAAAAACAGGTTCATCCCTCCACAGAGGTCATTAAACAATCAGGTGGTATTTATTTACCACAGAGCAACATTCATTCTATCTGCTGCCCAGCTAGATTTTTGTTTTGTTTGCAAACTTCCACTAACGTTTGCAGCTGTAAGTATTTTTTTAGTTCCCAGAATATAATCTTTAAAGTTCAGAAAACGTTCTCTAAAGACATCATTGAACCATTACGCACTAACGCACCTAAAACATTGTCTTAATATTGCATCGACAACATCAACGTTTTGATATCTTAGAACATTGTGGTAACGTTTGATAAAAGAGTTCCTAATGTGTTGCCACAGCGACATCCACTAAACGTCCTCAGAACAATGCAGGAATGTTTTATAAAAGTTTACTCGATAACATCCTAAAAACATCCTCTAAACGTTGCGGTTCATGTCTTAGTTGAGTTTTAACCAAATGGGAACGTTACTGGACTTGAGAAAAATCTTTAAAATGTTGCTGGAACATTTTTTCTTTAAAGCATTATTAGAATGTGTAGGTAATGTTGGCCACCGTTAGGGGAACGTTCCCAAAGCTAGAATTTATTTTTGTTTCAAATAAGAAAGTTCTACTAACATATTTACCGGTTCCTAGAATGTTCTACAAATGTTATTACAACGTTAGACCGTGATGAAACTGGGTTCAAAGCTAAATGTTGCACTGAGAGCGTTCTGTCTTTGTTGTCGTGATACACTGTGGGAACGTTTTACAGATTTTCTAATGTGTTCCCTCAGTAACATGCTCAGAACATCCCCAGAATATTCCACCTTTGTTAACATACGGCATCTTTTAAAGAACGTTCCATCATCCCAGGTCTCGGTAATGTGTTCCGTCAACACATTACAGGAACGTTATAAAGCATTCTGTCATCTCAGGCCTCCACAACATCTAGAAAACACAATCTGTGTTCCTGACAACATCCTCCAAACGTTCTCTGAATGTTGCACTACGGTGAAACATCTTCAGTCTGGTTGGTTTAATTGAAGCTCTTAGAATGTGATTCATCTTTTTTTTTTTTTTTCAGTGTCTCCTGCAGCTGCAAACTGGCGACAGTTCAGCTGCACATGTGGTGCCACTAAAAAGTTCTGAAGCTGTTTGTGTTGTGTGTTAATGCACATGTGCAGACGACATGTGCTGTTACCACATGACGCCACACCATCAGGACCCGTGGTGCATGTTTGTGACCGCTGGTATGTGCAGATTGGTGATGAGCTCAAACTGAAGCAGAGAAGAAAACATCAGCCCATGATGATGATGTCATGGCTTTGGAAGCTTCTGATTGGTTAATTGACAACATGTGAGTTAATTGGAGGAACACCTGTGGATGTATTTTAAGGCACACCTCAAACACGCTGCTGCCTTTTGTGACAACATGGAACATCTAAAGAAACCAGCCGAGACATCAGGAGGAGAACTGTGGACCTCCACCAGTCTGGTCCAGATGCCTGAAGGTTCCACGTTCATCTGTTCAAACCATTATATCAAGTATGACCACCATGGGAATGTCCAGCCATCATAGGCTCAGGAAGGAGACGGTTCTGTGTCCAGAGATGAAGTGTTCTGGTTGAAATGTGTGAATCAACCCCAGAACAGAAGCTAAAGACCTTGTGGAGGTAAAACTGTAGTTGGGGACGGCCTTTGTTTTCAATAACGCTGACGCTCATACAATAAACGCGACACTCTAGAAGATTACGTGGCTCCATCAGAGAAATACAGATTGAACATTGGTAACTTAACCATGTGATGGATCTTGAGTTCCCAAATCGTATTTTAAACATTTAAGAAGTCCAGACACTGCACATACTACATACAACTGCTCTGAGGCTCCTCCTGAACATGTGAACCTACCGGTGTGGAGTTTCGTCGGCGCTGCCGCTGGGTGATGTCCGGCGTGCTGGCGGAGGAAACCCTCCAGCGCTCGGCGGCGTTCTGATGCGGGTGGTGGTGCGAGCAGGCGTTCAGAGGGCTGGCGGAGGCTGAACGGGAGCAGTGATGAGAGTCTGAGCAACACAAACATGCAGAGAGCGGCAGCAGGGCCGAGGTCAGGCCCACAAACACTCACACCATGCGGGTACAGAAACCTGACGGCGAGGCGACACGCTGAACACAACACGATGCAGGACAATAACACAACCCCGCTGACGGATGAAGTGATGAGCAGGTGGAGATTTACTGATTACATTCAATAAATAATCATAAAAATACCTATTTGATTGTTTCTAGAAGGTATAAATGTGTTCCAGCTAGAGAAGTTTTCACATACATTTCTTAGCCGATAACAGACGCCTTCGTCAATCAATAATTAATAATCAACAACACAAAACTCCAGTGTCACGGATGATCAGCTGCTGGACCACAGTGATGCTGTCTTAGCATGCTTCAACTCAGTATCAACAGAAGGAAGTGGCAGGTTGGAATTAACCCTTTCAACACTAAGTAACCTGAAGTTCATGATCAGATCAGGTGGTTTTGATGATGGTTTGGAGGTCTTGAACCTCCTCAGAGTCTCTGTCATGGTCCTGTTGCTGCTAAACTCCCACAATGCTCTCTGCTGCCACCATGAACTGCAGTCTGAGTGAGGCCTCCTCTGGTCTCTAAACAGTGAGAGGCTCCACCTGGTGGAACAACCAGGTACTACAGCTGGTCTACGGTACGTTTACTGACATGCCCGACCTTCTTCTTCTTCTTCTGTTTTATCAGTTAAATTATTAACGGCAATTAATTGATAATCACTAACATCCCACAGCAGACATTAATTCTGCATTAGGTGGGATTTAGATAAATTTGTTCCTTTGTGTCAGAGTCTTTGCTCTGTGTACTTCCTGTTTTATTTTGACACTTCCTGTCCTTGTGTGTCTCTTGTTGTTTAACTTCCTGCCTGTTTTCTTCATGTCTGTATGTCTGTCATGCTTTGGTTTGGCTGTTTGAGTTTTTGTGCTTTTGTTTGTTTTGCATTCTCTTCTAGTTTTAGAACCGTGTGTTTTCCTGCATTCTGTCTAGTGTTTGCTCACCTGCCTTTTCACCTGATGAAGTTTTGATTAGAGTTTTATTTTGTGACTTTCACCAGCCTTTGACTTCTCATCTGAACAGGCTTTGACAGGCTACGCATCACCAATAAGCCAATCAACACTGAAGGATTGTTGGTAAAATGTTTTCATGAAGAAAACATAAGTAAAGGCATTTCAATTCAGTTTGTTTGTGTAATTAAAAATGTTCACACCAACATTTTCATTTCAGATCCAAATATTGGTATTTGTGCTAAAAAAAATCCCATCAGTCGACCTTTAACCTCGATTATTTCATGATGCATGTCTCAGACCAAACAAACCGTCATGAAATGCCTTTAAGAAGTGAAGCCCAGACTTCTTGTGTGCAGAAAGACGAGGCTTTTCACGGGTTTCATACTCACGAGAGTCGCTGTTGTTGAGGAGGGTGGCGGCGCTGCGACTTCGGGCCAGGAAGGACAGCGTCGGCGTCATGAGCCGCTCCACGATCCGACTCTCCCAGGGGCTGAGACGCAGGCTGCGGGCTGACACAAGAGGGCGCCGTCAAAGTGGGGTCACAGGTACAACAGACAGCCTCTGAACAACCTCACACACCGTCACACTCACAGCATGAATCCGCCTCCGTCTGATGCAGAGTGACGTGTAACATGTGCTGCTGACAAACCTCATCACAACACATGAACTAACTCACAGCAGACGATGAAGCTGGACAGAAAATGTGGCCTGTAAATAAACACCTGTGTGTTTATTTGGTCAGACAAACTTCTAACAGCAAGAATTCTGTCTTTCTAGGTTTTTTTTTTTTTTGAAACATTCCTTGAAGGCACTGCAGCTCCAAACACTCACTGATTGATCTGATTGATCAGCAGGAGGAGCAGAAGAACTGAAATTGTTTGCAGAGTTAATATAAATAAAGTCAGCGAGCAGCTAATGAGCCTACATTGCAAAACTACTGAGCTTGGTGCTGGAGAGGAAGGACAGCTTGACTTTGAATGTTTGCCATTTGTTCAGAGTTATAAATATGCTGATATATGCGCCTTTCATACAAACTATAAATGATTTTGCTGCAAACTAGCTCAGAGTGCTGCAGTAAGACTCGTCATTAAATCAAACATATAGCTAGAAATGTGGGAAAGAGTAAATAATGTCACTCAGAATTGAGAAAACAGTGCATTTGTCAGAGACTATATATCTCTAACTTGTTTTTGTTTGTTTTCATGACATTTTCTGACAATAAGAAACACATCGAATACAGTCTTGACTCTGTGCTTTAGTAGAATAAACCTCATTTATTTATATTTTTGCATCATCCCTCTTTTTATTTACTATCATACAGTGTGTTTATGCATTTTGCTCATGTATTTGGGAAGCACTTGTTCTTCTCTTCTTCCTCGTCTCGCAAACTGCTGTTGTGATTTATTAATATAAAAACAAAACAAAAAAAACCTACAAATGTGTGAAGCTGTTTCCTGTAACTTCTGACTTTATTTTACACAAAAAGCAGGACACAAATATCTAGTTGGATTTTTAGAAAAGGGTGAGAAAATGGTGCATTTGCTGGGGACTATTTTCAGCAGCGGATTAATACACATTTGATGCTCTTGAGGAAACGTCTGGCAGCGTGAACGCAGCTTGTGGACACCTGACTGAGCTTTTGTTCTACAGACCATCAGCAGAAGCTCAGAGGTTCTTCTGAGCTCCACTCAGACGCCATCAGTAGAACTCATACAGGATGAATGTCTGACATGTTGTGTACCAGACATGAGAAAACACACAGAGGAGCATCCCGGGTTAATTTTCACTACTTACCACTAGAAACTAAAGCTACATTTATTGACCCTGTTAAACCCGGCGCGTCAGTCTGAGGCGGGTCCAGCATTAGAGACGCTCTGACCTGAGCTCTGCAGCAGCATCTCCACCGCTACAGATGTGATGTGATGAACGTGTGACGTCCAACAGCAGCAGTTATTCCAATGCGTTGTGATGACGGGTGGAAAAACAGCACATACACCAGGAAAACACTCGCTCATGGGTTTTCATCAGAACTTGGTGCCGTTTTTGGTTCAAGGAAAAATCTGTGCATATTTGTTAAATGTCTACATTTTAAATACGAAGACAAACAGACAAATAAAAGTAATTTGAGGCTCTTCTCTCCAAATAGTTCCAACATTATCCCTAAAGACGTCGACTAGATAATACTACTATAATATATATTTATTCACTTTTACCTATTTCCATTTTCTGCTCACATTATCTCCCACACGACCCTACAACACTGTATTTTTTTACTCCACTTTTTTATTTGACAGTTACAGTCACTCATATTAACAGATTAACATTTTTATGGATTAAACTACCAAACAATCACTAAAGCTGTTAAAAATGAGCCTCAAACACGTTAATGCATCGTTAAAATAATCTAACAGTATAAAACACAGTCTACTTGGGCTCCAACTGAGTAGCTTCAACCAAAAAAATCATTAATTACATTAACTGCAGATTGTGGTGCTTTGACTTTTCTAGCACGACAGTGTTTGAACGTCTCCCTAAAGTCATGCAGGTTGAATCCTTTCTCTGCTTCGTCCGGTTCAGACAACAGAAAACAAGCGAGGCCACTGAAAACACACAGACGGACACAGAATCTGACAGATCCGATGAATCTCGACAGCTGTTCCAGTTTGTGTGGATTTCCGGGTTTCTCGTAACAAAAACTTGGACTGACAACGTGCTGTGCAAAGATGTTTTTTAGGCTCGGCCATGTTTTCTGATGACACCTTCGGCTTCTTTCCAGCTCTCCTGCAGCTATTGCTCAGTCGACACACCACAGTATGTATGAAACATACCACACACACACATGAGGACAGTGCAATCACAACAGACGAGCTGCAGGTTCTGCTGCTCTGACGTAAAGGCTTCACCTCGGCTGGACGTTTTCACAACATGTTTTATGACTAACTGATAACCCGACTACCTCCTGTTGCTAGGCAACAGTGGTTTCCCTCCTCCTCCTCCTTCTCCAATGCGGCAAGAGGAGGCCGAGCTGCTGCCTGGTGATCGACTGTTCACCTGAAGGTAGATTGATGCTTCTGTCACCAGACCCCCTCCCTGGAAACCAGCGTTGGTTCACTGAGCAGAGCTTCCAGGCCACAAACGGCAGCTCTGGTATCGACTCTACGCAGATTTAACTGTCCTGTCATGTGCAGCATCGAAGCTTTAGTGATGATCAAGCATAAAGTCTGCGGCGACGACGGAGCCGAGAGCCCAACTGCTGATTGCACTGAGGGTGATACGATCAGTAATGACGTTACGTTATGAGGCGAGACGAATCTGAGATGAAGACGGTGCTGCTTGTATGCACATGTGGAAACTCAGGAGTCAGATGAAATGAGTCTGAGATGACGGTTTAATCTTAGCGTTGAAGTGCATCGCTGCTGCCCTGCCACAAAGATATCTCCCCAGTTTCTTGTTATAAAATAAAAAATAAAATAAAAAAACACATTATAGAAATCATTTTCACATTTTATCATCATACAATTACTTCTTCAAATAGTTCAGATTTTGCAAAAATGCTTCCTGTTATAAAAAAATTATTTTAATGAGCTGTAACCTGAAAGTTTAATGTTAAAACCCCATATTGATCCGGGTGATATGGTGTATTTCTATTAGGAGAGGACGTCTACCCACAATTTTCTGTCTTTAAAACATCTTAAGACTCCCTGATGTACCAACATTTACACTGCGCTAGTTAAGCCAACTTAACATAATCGTTGCTGGACATTAACTGCTATCACTAAGCTAGTTAACGGGCGACTGATGTCCTATATTTAAGCATTTGACATTCTAAAACTAAAAACATTCACACCAAGCTCACAATTATTGTGTTTTAATGCTATCAAAAAATGCTAGCATGCTAACAAGTTACGCTAAGATAGAGAAAATTATACCTGCTAACAGCATGTTAGCATGTGAGCTGACTTTAGCTAACATTTGCTAACGTTAGCTAACTTAACATGGTTGGTGTTGAACAGTAACGGTCTCTTAACTGGCTACTGCTGTGCTCCATTTTAGCATTTCTTCCAAAATACTGTGTTTTTAAGATTAATTAAACTTCTAGCATGCTACCATGCTAAATTATAGGCTACCTGCTAAACATCAGCATGTAGCATGCTAGCTTACATTAGCTAATGTTGTTGGACAGTAATTATAAACCAGTAAGCCGGTTATTGATGAGCTGAATATTAGCATTCACCTTTAAAAACTAACACATTCCCACCAAACTCATGTGGACAGTGTTTTTCAATGCCAATTAAATATATTAGCATGCTAACATGCAGCATCAAGAACAATACGCCTGTTAAACATCAGCTCCTAGCTTTGTCATTATGAGCATGTTAGCATGCTTATGTTAGCATTTAGCTGTTGAGTCTCACAGTTTTTATGTCAATGAATTAAGAGGAAAGTTTATTTTAACCACAATAGCTTCCTGTTACATTTAGAAAACAATATGTGAAAAGTAGAAACCTTTCTAGAAAACATGGAATAATTTAGTGTCGTCAAATAAATATGTGATAATCTTACTCCTGACAAATATCTTTTTAGAATGTAAAAACCTTAAGAAACTGAGAAAATATGTTTTACATAAATATTTAAGCAAGACTAAGGAAACAGGCTATATACAGTATTTGCTTGTAGTAACATACTGTAAAATCAAAATATTATTCAATGTACATTAATAACTGTACTTGCTTCACTTGTAACAGTCACATTATACAGAATTATCCACCACCAACACCACCAGCACCACCACAACAAACCACCAACAGTACAGTGGAGGGGGGAAACCAAAGAGAAGGTGTCGTGACAAGATGCGAACTCATAAACCTACGAAACACCAAAAGTATAACCACAGAATCATGGCTCGGTGATGTCGAGGTGAGAGGGGTCAAAGATGCAGAGGAGACTCAAATCAATGACAAACCACCAACTGAAATCAAAAAAGAAAAACCACGATGCACACGAGACCGAGAGCGTGAGAAGAGGAGGGAGTAAATGACCAGTCACCAAGCAACAGGCAGGCAGGCAGGCCACCAGAGACGACAGTTAAAACCAAAACAGAACCAGATCGGGGGTGAGGTGGGAGGAAGGATGAAGAGGAAGGGGAAGGGGAAAGGGGGGAAGCCTGGTGGACCTTGACGTCGGCTCGTCCTTACTTCTGTTGGGCGAGTTCCAGAGCGTGGCCGAGGACTTGGACAGCCTGTTGTTAATGACAGGGTCCACCTGTCTCGGCAAGTTGACCGTGGAGGCCGAGCATCTGCCTGCACCGGAGAGAACGCAACAGACAACAACTGTTCACAAGGCGGCCGGCGGGCTGCTGAGGGCCGAGCAGGGCCTCGCCGTGTCTGGGGTTCAACTCATCATCAATCAGTCAGACTTTAGAGGAGGGGAGACGGGGAGGAAATTTGAAGGAAAGTATGGGAAGGGTGTGGTGTAGCTAGAAGTAAACATCTAGAGTAAAGGTGTTCCTGCTGCGAAGGCTAGAATCAGGTGTCACGCCTCCATGCACACGTTCGGGATCTTTCACACTTTGCGCTGCGCCTTGACCTCCGTGTCACAGGTCGAAACAGCAGCTCGTCACATGTTTGAAATAGCAACGAGCTCGCGGCTCTCTGAGAAACACACTCCTGCTCTAATGAGACGTGTTCATCACAGCTGAGCTTCAATGAGTGACTCTGGAACTCAAAACCAACTTTAGGCCCCAAGAAACAGATATTACAAGAGATCCTCTTCCTGAATCACAGTGGTCCTGCTGTGGCACCCTGCTAGCCAGCGACGCCTAAACTCTTCTTATTGTATTAAACTGTACAAACATGGTCAACAAACATTAAGAGCTACACTTCCATCAGTAAATAAAAGATTAATGAACACTTACTTGGGTTTAAACTGAGCTGCTTTTCTAGGAAAGTTCATTTCTACCAAACTCAATTCTTCTTAAACTACAGAACTGTTCACTTGTTAAACATGTTGAAACATCTACGTAAAGTCTTGTAGGTTTAATTCTTTTACTGCTTCGACTGACAAGAGGACAGTTTAAAAGGGAAATCAGCGACTTTGGCACTAAAAAACTATTTCTGCCCTGAAAAAGCAGAGAAATTAGAAGACGTAACATCATAATTAACTGTGCAGGTCGTCTGCGCCTCAAACATGCTTCAGCAACAATAATCTGATGGTTTAAAATATAGTTTACTCAGCTTCCTATTAACGCTCTAATTTGATCTAATTCATGAAAGCATCTGTCGTAAAATGTGCACAACAAATAAACTCTGATCTCATTCCTCTAAATGTAAGAAATTAGAAGTAAAACACTATAAATCTGTGCCCCAATTAAATCATTACAATTAAAAAAAACACTAAAGTAATGCAGAAAGCATGAAGAATTAAGTTTCCCTCAATAAATACAAGATAAATAAATACTTAATTGGGATTAAACTGAGCAGTTTTTTTCAAAGGAAGTCGGTCATTTAAACATAAAAACTGAACCAAACTAACAATTCGGCCTCTTGATCAAATTAAATGATTCATTCCAGGAAGTAAAACCCTGAAAATCTCTCCTCCAATCAAATCGTTCCATTTAAACAGGAAGCTAATGGAGGCTAAACCAGGTTTTATTGAATAATACCTCACAAACATGTGCAACTTGATAACAAACACAAGTTTCCCTCAATAAATAAAAGATAAATAGTCATTTGGGCTTAAACTGAGAAGAAAAGGTTTCCCCTTTAGAATAAATAACTGAACCAAAACAACGGTTGTGTCTCTTTTACCAAGTTTTTCTCTTTTTATCAGAACCATCCCTAAATGATTAGAAATTATACAAACTGCAGAACTTTCTGGTAACTTGTTCATGTCAAGACGTCTCCCTGAAGTCACAATGATTTCATTATTATAATGCGACAGAAAACAAGCGACCACACGGCTTTATGAGGACGGTTTGAAAAAGGAAACTAGCAGCTTTATAAAAAACACACTCCTAATCTAGTGAAACTGCCTGAGTTTAGATGAACAACTTTGGCACTCCAAACCAATGTTTCTGCCTCCTAAAAACCCAGAAATTACAGGAGCTAGCATCATAATTTACTGTGCCGGTCATCTATCCGCCCTCATGACAGCAAACCTCTCTTTCCTCCGATTGCATCAGCTGAGGCGGTGAGTCACAGTCTGAGCAGCACAAAGGCCCGACTGACGGCGAGGATCTGGTCTATCTGGGTGTGTTTGGCCTCTACCAGTGTCCGGCTGCTCGGCGTTCATCTGAAACTCACTTTCTCTGCGGGAGGTCTGGTTGAGTCCGCCGGCCCAGGACCACCGCTGCTGGCGGATCTCGGCCCACGTCTTCTTGGTCGACCTCTTGATAGCTGCCTCGTATCGCTCCTGCCGGGACAAACAGCGGAAACTCAGGTCATACCTGCACATGTCCACATGTGAATCCATCATGCCGTGTACGCTCCTTATGCTGTTTCAGCTCATGTTGACATTTTTAGGGCATGTTTTTTCACTCATGTTTATGTTTGTAGTTCATATTTTCTGCTTACGTTTTGGATGTTTTGGATTATTTTGACCTGAGCTGAAGCTGACCTTCATGCATCCTCCTCACCTTGTTCTTCTCCAGTTTCTGCCTCTGCTTCTCCTCCAGCAGCACTCGGCGCTTCTCGGCCTTCAGCCTCTGCTCCTCCAGCTTCCTCCGTCGCTCCTCCAGCTGGCTCTCCCTCAGCCGTCGGGCCTTCTCCTCCTTCTCCAGCCACTGGGCCTTCTTCGCTGCTGCAGGGGCACCACACCAAAGACCGAGAGATGAAAAACGATGGCCAACAGAAGCCTTTCAGTCTTATGTGTTAGCTGCTGTTTGCTGCTAAAGAAAAAGCCTCTCCCAGTTGTTCCCCACATGTTGCCCTAATAACTGAATACATTTACTTTTATATTTTATTGTAATTATTGTACAAAATGATAACAAGAGTTTCTGCAGGGTTGTACAGCACTTGTTTTTTTTTTTGTGCAATATTCAACAGATTTGCTGTCTCAGTATTTTTAGCAGCTAACTATGGGTCTGATCAATTGCTAATAACCAAGGAGACCTGCAACTTATTTCTGGAACTAAGAGTAAAACAGAAAATCTACAAAATTGAGAAAAACACAAACTTCAACACAAAAATTTGTTGAGTCAGCCGACGTAGCTAGCGTTAGCTAACATTAGCTTACATTAGTAGACTTCACATAATTGTTATTGGATAGTAACTGCTATAACTAGTTAGTTAGCTGGCTGCTGCTGTGCTACATTTTAGCATTTAAAATTGAAAAAGCTAATGTCATTAGACTCAGCTGTACTGTGTTTTAAGGCCAATTAAAATCCTACCGTGCTATGCTAAGATTGTATACCTGCTAAATATTAGCATGTTAGCATACTACTTTATGTTAGCTAACATTAGCAAATGTCAGCTAACTCCTCATAACTGTTGTTCGATAGTAACTGCCATCACAAATTCAGTTAGCTAGCCACTGTTGCTCTACATTTTAGCATTTAACATTAAAAACATAATGACACTTTCACCAAACTGAGCTGTACTGTGTTTTCAAGGCTAAGAAAACGGCTAGCATGCCACCATGCTAAACTAAGATTGTGTAGAAGTGTAAATATCAGAAATTTCTTGGCATCCAAATGAAATTCCTCTTGTGTGAAGCATATATCAGAATGCAGAAGACTTTGGTCAGACAATCACTACAGTCACAGGATTCATCCTCTGGGGACCATAAACATCTGGACCAAATGTCATGAAAATCCATGCAGCTGTTGTCAAATTACTGCTGTCTGGACCCACATCCACGTCTAAAAACACAAGTTTATCAGACAGACAGTTTATGTGCAATACACTGACTTAGAAGTGACTTTTGGGAAAGAAAACATTCTTATTTTTAAAGCAAATTCCTCAACTGCAGAAGTGTATAATAACCCAAATCGCCTAAACAGAGAAGCAGATGGAAGACGTAGTGTTCATGACGCTATAATCCTGATAACAGTAAATAAGCAGACGTTTCCTGCTGTGTTTTACTGCAGCCTCCAGCAGACGCCACTTTTTCTTTGCTCATTCGCTGCTGCGCCTCATTTCTCTGGGTCGCAATTAAGCTGCACTAAATCAAATTAAAGTGGCATCACGTTGGACGGCAGCTCGCTGCTCTTTTCCTCTCAGATCTACACGTTATCAAATCAGCTCTGATAACATTCATTAAACACAGTGGAGGGTTTAGACAATGAAAAGGTCAGTACAGGTGAAGACATGTTGGGTTACTGGATGGATCGGGATGAAATGTGTGAACGTCGCCTCTGTTGCTGTGCGGCAGGCGGCTTTAGAAATACTTCTTAGTGGATTAGGCTCTGTGAGGATGCAGCCGTGTTGTATTTTGTATTTAGTTCAGTGTTCGGTGGCTCATGTTTGCTAATGAGCCAAAGACGAACATGAATCTGAGCTTCAGCCACAATGGGAACGCCGTCTTCGCTCCTCCATAAATCCTCCTCCTGAAAAAATCCAATTAGGCTCAGCAGAATTGAAAAACGACGTCGTGCTTTTTTACATTTTCTGCAGAGAAATTCGCACAAAGGCGGAGTTCCTGTTGTGGGGACGTATATGCTATTATCTGCACACCAACATATAATTACACAAAGAGGCAGACGGCTGCAAACTTATGTGGGAGCAGCCGAAGCCGAGCAAAGGGAAGATTTTACTGATAGAAAAGGAAGCAGAAGTCCCCTTTAACTGCTGCAGCATGACCACATTACTGATGCTAATGAAAGTCGTAATTAAATCTAATCTGTCTGGTCTCGGTTCACGGTAATGACGGCTCATTTTTCACGCCGAGCCCCGTCGGCTCCAGCAGGGAGACACCCACAGAACTCGGACATTTGGGCCTTGGTGTGCTCGGAGGAATCGTGTCGTGTTTTCAAAAGGGATGAGCTTTATTCTGCAGCCGCAAAGTGAAATTATAGGTTTGGAGCAGGCACGCTGGGAGGAAGATAAAGTCAAAATAAACTCAAATGTGTAATGATTCCAAACAAAAGTAAAGGCTGCAGAAGGTTGGCTGAGTTCAAAAGCTTCCAGTGAATGACAACAGAAAAACAAACGAACACGATCAATCGATGGAGGGAAGGAGGACGGGAGGAGAACGGGAGGCTGATTGTTCCCACGTGGCTGCTGCCGGGGTTTTAGTGAAGCCTCTTACCTTGCAGCTGAGTTTGCTGTTCTGAGAGCCATGCAGGGAGAAACAACAAGAGACGTCAATAAGCGTCAGTCAGAGTGACAGAGACACAGAGAGGTTAGAAAAAGACGTGCTGCTTCAAGTGGGTTACAAGAAAGTCCTGTTCCATGCATCATTTATTCAGCGGCGTTAACAGAGAGTCGAGCGTTCTCATTTCCTCACCGATGTATCTGGCTCTCTCCTCCCGCCGCTCCTTGGCCAGTTTCTGTCGTTGTTCTGAGCTCATTGAATCTGTGTGGGAAAAGATTTTGGGTTTTAAAACTTGCATTAAAACCCTCTGAGCCCAACGGCACGGTCCAAAGGCTTCATTTAAAAAGGCGACCAACATTATTCATCAGCCAGAAAAACACAAGACGAGAGAATCATCGTGTTTCGTCTGTTAGCTTGAATCGTCACATTTCATCTAAATCACTGTATTCCACGTCTGTTGCTTGAACCTCTGTACTTTCAGAAGCGTCTGAGCTCTTCTGTGCGACTCAGTAACTCAACTGCAACCAACAGTGACGTCGTAAAACTTTCTCGGTTGAACTGCAGACGGTGTTTACGCTCAGAGAGGAGCAGGTATGGAAATAAATTCAAACATATTATAGGTAGAATATCTGTTTTATGCAGAGACACCTTTTTGTTTCCAGTGTTGGTAAAACACCTGTGTTGGAAAAATGTTGTGAATGTTGGTTCCAGTGTTTTGGTAAATGGTCTGCACTTATAAAGCGCTTTTCTACCTTTGCGGCACTCAAAGCGCTTCACAATGTTTCTCATTCACACACATTCATACACCAATGGCCACAGAGCTGCCATGCAAGGCGCTAGCCTGCCATTGGGAGCAACTTCGGGTTCAGTGTCTTGCCCAAGGACACTTTGACTGTGGAGGGGATCAAACTGCCAACCTTACGGTCAGAGGACAACCGCTCTACCACCTGAGCCACAGCACAAACACAAATACACAAAACAAACAAACAAATACAACACTCGCAAAATGTCAAATCTGAGATTTTATTCACTCAAGAAATAGTAAAAAAAAAAAAAATCCTGAAAAGATAAGTGTGGGTTCCATCATCCCTGTTGTTCACAATCTGAGGACAGAAGCAGACGTGAACATCGTCAGAAGAGAATCTAAAGACTCTCAAACAAGTTCTGGTCTGATCAGTGAGATTCAACTGTTCTACATGAACGTGGACGTGAATGTTGTTTCTTCAGCCAGAAGACACATTCAGCAGATTTAAATTAGGATTAGATTAGAAGATTATTTTTCCAGAGTGAATCGTGTCTGGAAGATGATCAGAATGTGACCTTTTATTTTCAGTGTAATGACTTCATAATAACTGTGTTCATGATTTTATCTGTCTTTAGACTTTTGTGTGAACTGCCTCGGGTACCAACTGTGCCATAAACAAACCTGCCTCACCTTTATTTGCTGCAACTTGTTCTGACCACACATGATGTAGAACTGATCTGGTGTCAGGTTCTACCAGAACCCAGATGTGTTCTTCCTCCTAAATGTCATGTGTCTATCTGCTGTACTGATGAGGCTCAGAGATGATGGAACAAATCCATTAAAGTGATCAATCTGGACCCTCCTCTGTGGACTTCAAGGACTCTGGAATATTGACAGTCTGAAGGTGAAACTCTGATCATTCAGTAAAGCTCCTGCAGATACAGAACCAGCTGATTCTGAGGAGGTTCTGGTGGGGACCTTATTGATTTTTCTTGGACTGACCTGTATGTGTTTTTAATGAACCGACTCTCATTGTGTTTCAGATTCACGTTACAATGATTCATATGTTTGAAATAATGAAGGCAGTTTAATTGATCTGATCCGGGTCGGTTCTGAAGTCGTGTGTGCGTGACGTCGCTCCTCTGCAGCAGCGTCCTCGGTGATTTGAAGGGAGGATGTGAACCGTAACGCTGCCGAGAACCAGGACCCCTGAGGTTCTCGCTGAGCCCGTCTCCTTTTCAGATATGTAATATGCATGCTGCGCGGTCTCAGCCAATCACAGAGCAGCCTGCAGCACTTCAGCCCCGTCTCCATGGCAACCTGGATTTCCTCCCTCCCTCCCCACCTCACAGAGCTTCTACACGGCTGAATGCAGAGAAATAAATCTCTAGTCTGCAGGTCCTGGAGCTCCGAGACGTTGCCGATGCACCTCCTTCACCTCCTTCACCTCCATCCGTCCTCCATCACTTCTCCTCCATCAGTACTGTGTCAGTGTTGTGTCCCCAGAAAGTTCCTGTACGTGTACATATATGGACGTATCCATAGTTTCTATTAAAAATACAGTCTCTGATGGACAACATTTAGATGTGAGTGGACATATAACACTATACTACAAAGTGTGGCTCCACCGTCTGAGCAGAAAGATGACATAACAAATCTCAGAAGTGTGTGAATCAGCATGTGCTGCTCGTATTTTCTCCTCCAGCGTTCTGATGCTTCTCTGCTCTGCTGTAATACTGTCAGAGTCTCAGTGGACGTCCTGTCCTACATTATCCACTACCAACAACTTAAAGAGCCCGTGTGATGCACGTTTACAGGTTTGTAATCCTGTTTTGGGGACTGCTGCAGCTCATTTGCATCGTTTAATGTTCCAGAAACACCTCATTATTCTCATACTGTACATCGCTGCTGCAGCACCTTGTCTGTCTGAACCGCTCAGTTTTACTTCCTGTCTCTTGAAGCCCTGCCTCCTGAAAAGCCAGGCCTGCTCTGATTGGTCAGCTGGTCCAAACAGAGAGAGGAAAGGATGAAGCTTCATATCTGTTAGGACAGTGATGTAGCCCAAGCGATTTTACCAGGACATGATGTTGGACTGAGAGGCAGCTACTTGTTCAGGAGTGTAACACGATGACATAGATACGTAACAGGAGAAAATCCTGGACTTCAGATGAGGTGTTTCAGGCAGGTGTGGAGTTTTCTGTGAGCTTTCTAAGTTTGCAGACTCTTTACATGCACAAAAAGCAGCTGAAACACACGAACAGAAAGATAAAAAGCTTCATCTCAGCTCTTTAAGTCCCTGAATTCAGGTGCGTCATGCTAGCAGCAGCTAGCGTAGCCTGCAGCAGACGTCTGGTGATCTCCCTTCGACAGCGTTGCTCTTCATGCGGCTCCCTCCGGAGACACAAAAAGGCTTCAAACAATTTTCCTCACATGAGTAGCGGCGGAGCTCCCCGAAGACCTGCGAGCTGCCTGTGATGTAGAATCAGTGGAATTCCCCTTTGTGCCGCTAACGTGCTCAGAACTGCAGGGATCTGTGCTCAGCTGCACGTAAGGTCACGATAACGGCAGAAAAACTAACAAGCAAAGATGGTTCCAAAGAAGCAGGAAGAACAGTGAAGGAATTCTCCCCTTTTATCACCTCTTTCCTCACTCTGGGCTCATTTTTCACTGAATCAAATCAATAAAAAACACAAGCTGGATTTCTGCAATAACTTATTTCACAAAAACTGATAAACACCTGGAATCATGTTCAACATCTTTCCAAGTGTCCAGAGGACAAACCAACGCTGGAATAAATCACAGTCGCTCAACACACTGTCCATATTTTACTATTTATGTTTTTAATTTGTGTCCATGCTCGTCTCCTTGTCACACATCCTGCAGTTCAAGTTCCCGAATTTTAACCACGTGACTGTTGGTCGCAGCCGAGTCAAACACGGCTTCACAGTTTCACAGAGGAATCCAGAATTTTTTCTTTTTTACAGAATCTGGTTAAAATGAATTGTTCATTTTTTTGTAAATTGTGAAATCAGACATCTACATTTTAAGCTCGGATTCGGTTAAATATTCTAAAGGAACCAAACATCACAGATGAGCAGTTCAAGGGCTGTTGGAAAGCTGAACGTTTGATGTTTTTTTTCAGTTTTTACAGTTCAAATTCACTAAAAGGCTGACTTTGGGCTGATTTTGAGGTTCAGAGGGTTTTAATTGATTAAATTAAAGGCTGGTGACTCATTGATTTATCGTTGCAGCTCGATTATCAAGTTGTTTTTTTATTATTGAGCTGCCGCCTCTTAAAGCAGAACTGATCTCAACTATAAAACTTTTAAACTGCATGCAAAGACACATAAATACACATCAATTTGTTTGAATATTTAGTTAAAAAAATAAATAAATCCCTTAAAGGTTTAGAAATGTCTTCAGCTGACCCTCTGGCGATTCCTTGGATTCTTTTATTTTAGTGCAGAACTAAACTTTTACGTTAAACTGTAGGAAAGTCGAAGAATATGACTGCTGCGATACTGGAGTCTTAAAATCATTTACCACATCTGAATTGTGATGTTTGGCGCTTTAACAATCCACAAAAGAGGATCAAAGTTTCAACCACAAAGTCACCGGTTTGCTCTCCGTGGCTTCGTCTCATTTTTCTACTGTTGAGTCACAAACGTCGTCATAAAAACGCCGTTAAAATGATAAAAATGGTCATATTGCATAACTGAGCTGAGCCTCCATAAACATGCTCCACTGTTACCTTTCTTGGGCTGAGGGCTGCTGCTGCTGCCGGGGGTGGAAGGCCTGACGTCCGTCTTGGATGAGGCATCCGTCCTGGTGGGCGTCTGTGATTTGGAGTCTGTTTTAGGAGAAAGATCTGAGACGGCAGAGTCATCGGGAGTCAGGAGGTCCTTCCCCAGAGACTTGTCTCCACTCTGGATGGTCTGGGAGTCCGTCTGCAGGTGCAGAGCTGCAGGAAAACAACAGGACGAGGACTTTAATACCGAGACACGACACGGAACAACATGAAATCATCTCACAGCTCATGTAAACGCTCGTCTTGTGCTGTTGCTGCTTGTTTTTTTTTTGTCTAACTCGTCAAATCTTGTCTCAGAATTAGTCTCCGAGGCGACACTTCTGCCTCCACACCTCCGGCGGCTTCATTAACACGACACTCCAGCCTCATTAGGGATAATTAACGTCTTCTTTTCACTCACAGTTTGCACACGTCAGAGAGAAAAGCTGCTAAACGCTGCAGCAGCAGGTGAGACTCACAGCTTCACATCAGGCTGCAGCAAAAAAGAGGAAAAGTTTGGAGACTGTTGCTTAAACCTCCCTCCATTAAACGAAGAAGAAATGCTTGTATATTCATGACCAGGGGGATAATTACTGTTAAATTGTCTTAATTACAGCCACAGAGCCGCCTTAAATGATGCATCAAACTTTCTCAAGTTCATCTGCAAAACACTGAACACACGTCTCAGCCGCTCATACAGTTTACTGTCATGTTCACTGCTGTCTTCACTGCTTGCATTTTATTAATTATCTCTCTTTTATTTTGTTGGTTTTACTGTTTTAGTCTCTAAATCTATTTTAACATTCCGTCTTTTATCAGTCGCTCGTAAAGAACTTTGAAGTGTTTAATGATCCAGAAACGTTTCAGAAAAACTGACAACGATTTTCTTAAACTTTTACTTTTTTCCGTTTCCCAACTATAATTTGCTTCTTTTTTTTTTTCTGTGTTTGTGTCATTACAGACTGAATACGTCTCCACAAAGTTACTCATCTATGCAGGAAAGCTCAGCTATCTTGACTTAAAGTTGCTTGTGTGTCTGACAGTTAAGGTCGAGGCTATTTTGGGGGATTTCAACCTAAAACAACATCTCCAAATTCAGTCAGCAGCTCCTCCACAGCTCAACGCCAGAATGAACATCTACAGATTAAAGCCACGAGTCTCAGCGATGGTCTGTCCAAAACCAAACATGAGGCTTCGCTTATCTGATGCAAGAAAATACAGAAGCGCAGGAAGGTAACAGAAAACAAAGAGTTAAAACGAAAAAACAGTAAATAACAAATACAACAAAAAGCAGCTGAAGGAAGCTGCAAAGTTTGACATGAGAAGCCCCGATAAGGTTTAGAGAGAAAGTTCACAGGCGACTGATGCAGGTAAAGAGGAAAATAAACCGATAACAGACAAATAACAGACTGTATATAGTATAAATAAACACAGGAGCTGATTGGATGACGGAACTAAAGGTAGCAACCAGACGAGGTGGAGCAAAAAGGTGAAGGAAGAAACGATGGAGTAGTGAGAGCACCAAATGACTAAAATAAATCAATAAAAGAAGAATAAAACAGAAGAAGAATAAATAAAATGAAAAAATAAATAATGTGGTATTATTAATCAAAAATAAATCCATAAAGGAAAAAGGCTAATAAAAGTCGAAAGACAAATCAAATAAATAAAATAATAAAATGATACTAATTTATTTGTAATTATTTTTTTATTTATCTGTTATCTGTTTTTTTTTAAAAAAAAAAACAAACTAAAATTAATTTTTTTATTTTTTTTATTTATTTACTTTTTTTTTTTTAATTTTCTCCTTTTTTTCATTTTTATTTCTATTTTTTTATTTATTTTTGTCATTTGGTTCTCTCACTACTCCATAAAAAAAACACACAGACCAAAGACGTCAGTAAATAAAAACTCGCACACAGAACGCTCATCTCATGTCTGTCTGGGTGTTTAAACATCCAGACTTCTACAAAAGTAGAAGAAATCTCAGAATGTGAGCTCCACTGGGTCATGATTCACAGTCTGCAGCCGGCATGCTTTTCCACAATCCTGCAGAGTCGCGTCTCAAAGTTCCACACGAGTCCGAACATGTTCAGGCTGAACAGACTCGACATCACACAACAGACGAAGCTGAAGGCCGACGACGTGACGAAGCACGTCTGGAGGACGACCAACAAAAACTGACATTTTAACTTCAGACCGATGTGACAGAAACGAATCATAACGATGCTGCTTTCATTTAATCACAGCAGAACCAGCAGGCATCCTAATAAATGAACCAGAACTCTGGAGGTACTTTTATTGTTTTCAGGGGATTCCACCTGAGAAAAGCCTCCAACTCAGAGTCAGTCACACCAATGAGCTGCAGGTCTGTGGATTAAACTCTGTTTTATGTTGAGTCTCTGCTTAGCTGATGCAAAAATACAAACATTTAAGTAGATAACAAACATTAAAAAAAGGCCAAAATACAATCAGAAACATAAACTACAAACTGAGAATAAAAGAAAGTCCAACACGAGGAGCGTTTATGTCATTTTAGTCGTAGTGGAACCAGATGAAACTCAATGCGCTTTGAGCTCGAGGTTGTTTTGAAGGATTTCCACCTGAGAAACATCCAATAGTTTACCAAATAAAACCACAGCTGCACACCAACATGAACAAACTTGACGTTAAAAGCTTGAAATACAGTAATTCTCAGTTGGTTCAACAGAAGAATCAGGAAGCAGGTTTCCAGAAGTGACAGGCAAAAAAAAATTAATTCAATAAAAGAAAGAACACATTTATTCTCGTTTTAATCCCAGTAGAATGAGCAAACCTGCTCATTTAACACTAAACAGTTTATGAACTGATGAGCCGATGTGTCTCGTTAACATTCAGCTTGATTAATTCATTGTGCTGGTTCAGGTTGTACTGCATTGAAGGTCTGAAAATAGCAGTTTGCCACTTATTCAAACTATTTATTATTACTATTATTATTATTATTATTATTATTATTGTTCAAGCTGTAATTTCGACTGATTTAATAATAAAGACGTGAACAAAAACAGTCCATGTTTAGCCGTACATGCACTTCTTGTCTCTTTTTCTTAAATAATCTTTTCATCGTCAGTTTTAGAAGCTTTTCTCTTTGCTTGTTTGTTTGTTTGTTTACCTCCGACTGACGCATTTTGCTGTTTTGCACTTGAACAAAGGTTTGCATGTGATTTCCCTCCACATGTGAAGTGATAATAAAGACGTATTCTGTTCTGTTCTGATGCTTTTAGCGCTCTGCTGCCTCCTGATCAACTGTTTTCTGGACAAACCTGCGTCGGAGCCTTTATTCAAACAACTAAAACCAGAGTTCTGTGTTTTCGAACGCAGCTTCACAACGAGTCACAAACGCATGAATCGTCCGCCTCATATGACCCAAACGCAGCACAAGACCTCCGAGGCCTGGAAACCGATTCACGTCTCAGTCGGATAAAATCCTTCAAAGGCAGCATTGAACTTTCTTACACAACAAGTTTCACAAGTTTGTCAGGCCGTGTCATCCTCCCTGAAATCCCTAAATGCCCTGAAAATCAATATTTAAAGCA